AACCGCTGAACTGCAGATAACAGTCAGCTGAAGTGGCCTGCAGTACTGCACCCTAACCACTGCGCCACCTCGGCTCACCCCAGCCCCAGGTTAAACCAAAAATCACATTTTCTTTTCCTTTTTTCATTCTTTTACAGGATATGCTACCTATTCCAGGGGATCCAACACAAGGGACTGGCAATTACAACATAGAAGACTTTGCTGATTTGGGCATGTTTCCACCATTTTCTGAGTAAATTTATCTTGCCAGATAACATGCTCTGGCACAGGGTTGGGGAAAAAACCTACTGATGTAGCCTGGGCTCTGGTTTTTGTTCGTTCACTTGTTTGTTGGTGTTAACACTATCATAGAAGCTTTTATACAAGCAGCCTCCATTCTTTTCTTTGAGATAACTTGCTCTCCTCCCCAATGTTAACCATGCAAGTTCTAATAATCTACATGTATTAGGACTCACATCAGGGTTCAGTTTGCACAGGTAGTCCTCGACTTGTGACCACAATTGAGCTCAAAATTGCTGTTGTTAAGTGAGTCGTTTGCCCCATTTTATGACATTTCTTGCCACAGTTGTTAAGTGAATCACTGCCGCTGACTCCTTGACTTTGCTTGTCGGAAGTTTGCAAAAGTGGATCACAGGATGCTGCAATGGTCATAAATCCGAACCAGTCAGCAAGCATCGGAATTTTGATCGCATGATCAGGGAGAGGTTGCAAAAGTCGTAAATGTGAAAAACCGTCGTAAGTCTCTTTTTTTCAATGCCGTTGAAACTTTGAACGGTCACTAAATGGACTGTTGTAAGTTGAGGACTATCTGTATTTCATTCCCATTGGCAGAGGAGCTCAGGGTTGAATGGGTGAAGGTAAGGGGGGGGGGAGAAATAATGGGGAGGCCCTTTGGGTTTATTTTATTTTCCGGAGTTCTTAACATCAGAATGCGAATCATTGCTAATTTCCCATCTCCACGAAAATTATCTTGCTTAAATATTAGGTGCGCCAATCCTTCACTCGCTATTCAAAACAAACCCACTGGTTTTCTCTACAGCTTTGAACAAAGGAGATTTAATGAGTAATGCATAGCAGTCTTGGGCTGGGATGGATTAAGAGAAACAGGCTTCAGCCTCCATACCTTGCTTCACTGGGGGAAGACACTTAAATTGCTTGGTATGCATTTGTGGATTTAGTCACTGCAGCCCAACCCTTTCAAAAGATCTTGACTAACAAGGGTGGCAAGAACCTACCTACTGTAATTCTAAACTAATTTTTTTCCCTGCAGATAAACTCTGAGTGTATGATAGCACCCGACTATGCACAACACAAAGCAGAGGTGGGATTCAGCCGGTCCGGACTGGTTTGGGTGAACTGGATGCCAATTTTGCATCTGATTCACCGAACCGGTTGTTGCAAGGACTGGCTGGTCACCTGCACCGCCCCTCCCAGGGGTCCCCATGTGGCTGTTTTGGATGCAGGTAATTGCAGGGTCCGCTCAGAGGCTCGGACAGGGCGAAAACCGGTCCTACTGGAAGTTCGGGAAGGCCAGAAATGGGCCCATTTCCCGGTCTCCAGGGGGGCCACCAGAGCCTGGGGAAGCCGTTTTTGCCCTCCCGGAGGCTTGAGGAAATCATCCAGAGCCTGGGGAGGGCAAAAACTCCCCCCCCCCAATGGTGTAGGAGGCCTACTAGGCCACACCCACCATGGCCACGCCCACCCAGAAACTGGGCAGAGAACCCCTTGCTAAAAATTTTGAAGCCTACCCCTGAGTGCTATCAACTATGCACAACACAAAGGTAGAACTATTATAGTTGTGAGGTTGTAACTGTCAGCGTTCCAAATATCATCCAAAATTAAATCAGAGTCCAAGGCAAAGCATTGCTCTAAGTTCCAATTTATTAAGAGAGACATGTTGGCACATCTGTGGAAAACCCGAATCTGAAAGCTTCCTGGGTTTTGCACCCAGTTGAAAGTTCATGAACTTGCCCCCACACCCACAAGTCCATCACATGGTCCAATCTTCCATTGAAACGCTGGTATTTATACCCATCCACTTCCGGTCAGGTGCAGAGGTGCAAAGACAAAAAATGACCTTGGACTTCTAGAAAGGAATGTTTTATTTTGACAACAACACATTCACATTCTACTCCTTACTATTCCCCCTCCCA